GAGCAGAGGCAAGAATAAGCCCTGAGGGGCTGGAGCGATAGCACAGCAGGTAGAGCGTTTGCCCTGCACGAAGTTGACCTGGGTTCAATTCCCAGATTCCCAGCATCCTATATGGTCCCCCCCCCCCCCCCCCAGCACTGCCAGGAGTTAATTCCTGAATGCACGAGCCAGGAGTGACTCCTGTGCATCGCTGGGTGTGACCCAAAATGAAAAAAAAAAAAAGAATAAGCTCTGAGCACACCGGGTGTGGCCCCAAAACTAAAAATGAAAGAAAGGCCCAGGGTTCTGGTTCCGTCGTGAGGTTCTCCTTGGGGAACTGGTCCCAGTGGCGCCCAGGACCCGGGTGGTGGCGGTCACCGCGCTGCAGCCCTGAGCCCAGCCCCTGGCCCTGCTATACATCAGCCTCCTGCGTCAGGCCCAGCCTGCATTGTTCATTCCCTGGGAGGGTTTGTAAGAGAGCACTGGACTCAGGAGCTGAGAGCTTGGCAATCCCCGTCTTCCGCCCACTCACTGCCTGAGCACAGAGCTGGGAGATGCCCATCCCAAGCACTGCCAAGTGTGGACGAAAAGAACAAAAACAAACAACACAAAAAACACAAAACACAAAAACGTTCATGAGCAGAAACTCTAATTCCCGGCTCTGCCAGCGCAACCTAAGTGGGCGAGTGGCTCCCTCTTGTGGCAGGAGTGAGCGTCACAGGTCAGAGGTGAGGGGGGGGCGGGGCTCCTCTCCCCATGGACCAGGTCTGTTCATCAATCGCCCTGACGATCATTGTGCAGCCTGGGGCACCCCTCGAAGTTGGCCCCAGATGCATAAAAGGTGACTAAGAAATCTCTTCCTGGGCCGGGAGATCGTACAGGGGTTCGACGCCCTGGCCACAGCTGGCCCTGCCCATCTCTGGCACCAGCTGGGCCCTGAGCTCAGAGCCAGGGAATCACAGCCAAGTGTGACCTAAAAGACACAAAACAGGGGTTGGAGCGATAGCATAGTGGGGAGGACGTCTGCCTTGCACGCAGCCAACCTGAGTTCCATCCCCAGCATCCCATAGGATCCCCCCGAGCACCGCCATGAGTGATTCCTGAGCACAGAGCCAGGAGTAAGCTCTGAACACCGCCGAGTATGGCCCAAAAACCAAAAAATAAGATAAAGGTAAAAAGATAAAGGCCCTCCCGTTGTTCATCGATTTGCTCGAGCGGGCCCAGTAACGTCTGCATTGGAGACTTTGTTGTTACTGTGTCTGGCATATCGAATACGTCACGGGGAGCTTGCCAGGCTCTGCCATGTGGGCGAGATACTCTCGGTAGCTTGCCGGGCTCTCCGAGAGGGGCAGAGGAATCGAACTCGGGTCGGCCATGTTGGCTGCATGCAAGGCAAACACCCTACCGCTGTGCTATCGCTCCAGCCCCTTTACCAAAAAATAAAACAAAATAAAATTGGTGTGTCAGAGAGGACCCACCCTAGCACCTCATGGTTCCCCCCAGCACAACCAGGTGTGGCCCCCAAATAAAAAATAAATAGCAACAGTCCTATAAAAATCTATGTCTCTAAATTCAAAACTTTCCACTGTACATAGTGCCACCTGATGGGTGTTGAAAAGCCAGGCCGAGCTCACATTGTTAGACACTGAGTGAATTCTCTGTGTGAGAGGGTGAGCCCATCGAACAGAATGCATTCGAGAAGCATGTGTCATGCTGCAAAATGCGTGCAGTGAAAGGTCTGTATCAGCTCCAGAATCCAGCAGATTGACAGCTTGTTCCAGAGTCATTGTTTCCTATTTGTAAAACCAACAGCCAGGCCAGAGAGAGTATAGTGGATGAAGCCTCTGCCTTGCACACGGCTGACCGGCTTCAATCCCCAGCAAAACAAGTTCAGTCAGGAGCGATCCCTGAGTGCAGTAAGCCCTGAGCACCACCAGCTATGGCCCCAAACAAAACCAACAGTCAGGCTGGAGAGAGAGTTTAGTAGGTAAGGCGCTTGCCTTGCACAGCCAAGTGTGGCCCAAAACGAAAACAAAAAACAAAAAGCAAAAATCGTGGCATTCATGCCCAATTCAATAAGCCTAATCAGTGGCTGAATAAATAGCAATACTCCTACATTAAAAATAACTCATATTTATTTGGGCTGGAGCGATAGCACAGCGGTAGGGTGTTTGCCTTACAAGCGGCCAACATGGCCGACCCGAGTTCGATTCCTCCGCCCCTCTCGGAGAGCCCGGCAAGCTACCGAGAGTATCTCGCCCGCATGGCAGAGCCTGGCAAGCTCCCCGTGACGTATTCGATATGCCAGACACAGTAACAACAAAGTCTCCAATGGAGACGTTACTGGGCCCGCTCGAGCAAATCGATGAACAACGGGAGGGCCGTGACCGTGACCATATTTATTTATTAATAAATAATATCGCTGGAGCGATAGCACAGCGGTAGAGCGTTTGCTTTGCACGCAGCTGGCCCGGCCGATCCGGGTTCGATTCCTCCGCCCCTCTCGGAGAGCCCGGCAAGCTACTGAGAATATCTCGCTCGCATGGCAGAGCCTGGCAAGCTACCTGTGTCATATTCAATATGCCAAACACAGTAACAAGTCTCACAATGGAGATGTTACTGGGCCCACTCGAGCAAATCAATGAACAACGGGAGGTCAGTGCTACAATAAAAATACACACACCCACACACACACACACACACACACCAAAAAATCTAATTGTCACAGGCCAGGGAAAGGGCTAAGTGAGTGCTTTGAGGCTGCAGTCTGAAGCTCAGTCCCTAGTACGGTATGATCCCCAGCATCTCTGGGGCAAATCCTGAGCACCACTCAGGTGTGGCCTGAAAACAGAAGGAAAAATTAAGTCAGAGGCTGGGAGGCCGCACCACGGCTAGAGTTTCAGCACCATGTCTCAGGGGCACTGCCAAGGGGCTGGGGTCACTCCTGCTCCAAGGGTTCCAGCAGCACATCTTTGGACCCCACAGGCTGAGAATCAGGTGGGGGTCGCAGGGCCTCCTGAGCGACACTTAAGACCAGGGGCTGCAGATTGTCTAGTGGATACGGCACTTGCCTGCATTTGGCCAAGCCCAGTTCAATCCCTAGCACCTTGTTTGTTCCTGAGCACTGCCAGGAGTGATCCCTGAGCAAAGCCAGGTTTGGCCCCGAAGCAAAATCATAAAGGTGGAGAGGCTGGAGAGATAACACAGTGGGTAGGGCGTTTGCCTTGCACGCACTCCCAGCATCCCATATGGTCCCCTGAGCACTGCCAGGACTAACTCCTGAGTGCAGAGTCAGGAGTAAACCCCTGTGCATCGCCAGGTTTGACCCAAAAAGCAAAAAAAAATAAAAATCAAAGGTGGAATTCAAAGGTTCGAATTCAGCCGCTCAGGACTAAACAGTCATTACCTCCATTTTTGAACTCTGCTGGGGCAGGCCAGCTGCACACTGTGAAGGCACGCAACCTGGCACCCGAGGGAACACTTTCGGCCAAGTTCATACATATAAAAAGCCACTGTGGGGGCTGGAGCAATAGCACAGTGGGTAGGGCATTTGCCTTGCATGCAGCCAACCCAGGTTCGATTCCCAGCATCCCATATGGCCACATCAGCACCACTAGGGGTAATTCCTGAGTGCAGAGCCAGGAGTAACCCCTGTGCATCGCTAGGTGTGACCCAAAAAGGAAAAAAAAAAAAAAGACACTATGGAGTGGGGCCACTGAGTAGGGCCATGGCTCCGTGGCAAAGCATATATGTTACACATATGTGAGGCCCTAAAGTGCCTATCGCTGTACAACCTCCCTGACCCAAGTCTGGAGATGTTCAGGGGATCATATGGGATGTCGGAGATCAAACCTGGGTTGGTCACGTGCAAGGCCCCGCTGTGCTATACTATCACTCTGACCCCCCCAAAGCTTCTTTAGAAAGAATACACCCTCATCTCATCACATGCAAACATTTCAGATTGGTTGGTGTGGCATTTGGTACAAGGGGAATTCTGCACTTGTTCTTTGCAGTTGGTTGGCAAAGTTCCTACTTGCAGTTACAAAACGGCGGGGGGGGGGGGTGTGGGGAGCACAGAGGGCAGGGATCTGCTCAGGGCAGGGGGCGGGAGGGGGCTCAGAGAATAGGGGGTGGCCCAGAGGGCAAAGGTCCCAATTTAATCCCTGGCACCAAATGCTTCTCCTAGCACTGTCCAGAGTGGCCCCCAAACCCCAGTTGACTAGTTGATATCCCAAAGGTCTGGACTTGGTTTAATTTTTTTTTCTTTTTGGGTCACACCCGGCGATGCACAGGGGTCACTCCTGGCTCTGCACTCAGGAATTACCCCTGGCGGTGCTCGGGGGACCATATGGGATGCTGGGAATCGAACCTGTGTCGGCCATGTTGGCTGCGTGCCAGGCAAACGCCCTACCCGCTGTGCTATTGCTCCAGCCCCTGGACTTGGTTTAAAACCAAAAGGTCAGGGGTATGAGAGGAAAGAAAAATTCCTGTTTTCAAACCTTCCAACATCTCCCCCTGGGGCAGACAGAGCACATGCCTTGCGGGTGGCCAAACTGGGTGTCAGCCCAGCACCCCACGACTCTCCCCAGATACCACTAGGAGTGACTTGTGAATTCGGGCCTGAGCACTGTCAAAACAAATATAGTATCTCTCACCCACAGCCCATCGCTGGCCCCAAATGGTGGGTCCCCTACCCAAAGGGCCTTTCCATATGGCAGCAGCCTTATTCTATTTGGCATTTTTGGCAGAACAGGTGGTGTTCAAGGGATCACTCTTGGTCGTATTTGGGAGGTCCTGTGGGGTGCTGGGGATCAAACTGGGATCACAAAGGCCATGTGCAAGGAAAGGCCCCTGCACACCATGCTTCCTCTCAGGTGCACCCTCCCAGGATGAGGGGACGCTCTCTCCTGGGTCCCGGAGGAAGGAGACTCGGGGGTCACACAGCATCACTCTCATTTTGCCAAGATCCACTCCCAGGAGTGGAATCAGCCTCCCCAAGAACAGGAGAAAGAGCCCACACGCGCCAGTAAGACATTTATTATGCTAAAGAAGAGTTTTATTTTTCAGTTTCCCAAAACACTAAAATAAGCACACGGCAGAGTGATTTAGCACACAATGTAAACTGATATTCCCAATTAATGATCCTGAAATTGCCTAAGTCTTAATTTGGGACAGCTTTAGCTGAAGCTCTGAAGGAACCTTTATCAAAATTATCAAAAACAAACGACAAAAGGGGTTTATACCTCAGGGGAAAAAAAAATTCGGTGTAAAAGATCTCTCCATCTCTCATTCCCAGAGACTTTCTCCTGAAACGCCTGCTCGGCCCTCTCAAGCCACGCCAAGGGCCAAGCTGTCTTCACTCCTCTCTGCAATGTGCCAGGGTTCCTAGTTTAAGAAAGGGTGGTCCTACGGGTAAGTCTGATATTGCAACTTCCGCCACCAGGCGTGCCTTTCGGTTGCATTTCAAGCAGCAGGAAAGGAGAAAAGAAACAGTTTTGCTACAGACCGAAGGCGCCCTAGCCACGCTGGGCGGCCGCAGCTCCCCGCTAGGCCAGCAGGGCGGGAAGCCCCGTGTCCACTTCCACTTCATCCAGCTCGGGGAGAGGCCTGGGCCCGAGCACGTCCACATTCTGACAGTGACGGGCAGCTCCTCCCACGGCCCCGCCGGCCGGCCACTCCTTTGGGCCTGGTGGAACTGGTTCTGCCGTGCGCGTGTGCGCGCGACCCATGGCCTCCTGCCAAGCCCGCACCTCTGTCCACTCGAGTCACTGTCCACGGGCCGGAGCAGCGGGAAGAGACCAGGGCCACGGGCGGCTCGGAAGGAATCTGTGTTTATTCTCTGCGTGCACTGTGGCTGGGTGGGGGGTGCCCCTTCCCCAGCCCCCGGGAGCACCCTGCAAAGTCACAGTCTGCTCTGCACCCACGGGCTGGGCGAGGCCAGCAGTGCTTTCGGGCGCCACCGCCTTTGGGGACACCTCAGGGTGCCCGCGCCTCAGCGAGGGCAGGGTGCAGGGTGTGGGGCCACCCCCCTCCGCAGGGGCCGCCGGGAAGGGGGCCTGGGCAAAGCCCGCGTCGGAAGGCGACCCCCAGCCCCACGGTTGTCCAGAAGGGCCCGGTCCCCGGTGGCCTCCTCCCGGCCGGCCCCTCCCCACGGGGTCTCCGGCCCCCCGAGACACCCCTGCCAGTCTCTCTTCGGCCAGCACGGAGGCCGGACCCCGAGTCTCGCAGTGGGGCGCGGTGCCCGCCCAGTGTCTCGCCGCCTGGTGGCCGGGCTCCCGCGGGGCAGTGGCCGCTCCCGGCAACAGCTCCTCCCGGGGCCACACTCCCCGGTGTCCGTCCCTCATGTCGTGTGTCCGCAGCATTGGGCGGGGCCGAGCGCGGTGTCTGTCTGTCTGTCGGTTGGTCGGTGGGTGGAGCCTTCAGTGGATCTCAATGTGGACCTGGAAAAGAGCATCCGTTAGCGTGCCGGGACGTGGAGGCAGCGCACACCGCAGTGGGGCAACAGCAGGGCAGCGACGGGCACACGATCCCCAAAGCGTGGCCAGACTCAGACTCATTCTCAGGCTGTGGGGTCGTGGGCCAGCCAGGACACGCCCCAGGAGGGCTCAGGGGGCCCCCCACTGGACTGGGCTGGGCGGGCAGCAACTGACCGGCCCTTGCTACACACATCCCCAGCAGCGGGGATGCAAGGCCTCGCCGGAGGTGCCCAGCTTTCCACTCGCTCCTTCTCTCTCTGGTCTTGGGCTGCACACGGCGGAACGTGGGGACTACAACCTAGAACAGTGTTTGGGAGTCATTTCAGTGGAGTGCAGGGATGGGCCCGGTCTCTTGCTTGCATCAGCCCCCAGAGCTTCTGGAGATAACCCCCCCAATCCCCCCGCTCCCCCATAGTCCAGACGCTTGTGCTGGCTACTGCCCCTGCAGAGAGGGTGCGGCTGAATCCTCTAATGCACTCCTCTCCTGCTGGCCCCTCCTGACACGCACGGGTGGCCAGAGGCAGCTGCCAGGTACATGCCGGAGGGACAGCCCAGGCACCGTCACTACACGGGCAGGATGGCCCCAGAACCAAACAAACCCAAACCCCAGGCTCGAGAGAGCTGGCCGGCTGGGCACCGGCTTTGCACACGGCACGCCTCAGTCTGGTCACTGGTGCCCAAAGTCCCAGAAGCTGCACTGCCCAGTGAGACCCAGACACCAAAAGCCAGAAACAGAAACGGCTGTGAGCCCAGGACAGTGGTAACGTGGTGCTCAGTGATCTTCCCTGCAGCTGCAGCCTCCATTGCGTCCACTGCGGGAGGACAGGGTGGACATGCGGGCACCAAGGCGAAGACAGAGCCTGGACACTAAGACCAGGCCCGGGTGATGGCCCCACGGGCAAGCACTGGCCTCACACCCGGAGACCCTGGCACCATGCACACAAGCCAAACCCTGGAGAGTCAGTGGGGCTGGAACAACAGCACAGCAGGGAGGGCGTTTGCCATGCACGTGGCCGACCCGGGTTCGATTCCCAGCATCCCATATGATCCCCCGAGCACCGCCAGAAGTGATTCCTGAGTACAGAGCCTGGAGTAACTCCTGAGCATCACCAGGTGTGTCTCAAAAACAGAAACAAAAGAAAAAGTTGAGGCCAGAGAGAAAGCACAGCGGGTAGGGCAATTGTTTTGCCTGTGGCCGACTCAGGTCCAATCTCCCACACCACAAGGGGTGATGCCTGAACAGAGCCAGGAGTGAGCCCTGAGCACCACCAGGTGTGGCAAAAATACAGTCCAGCTGCAAGAACATGATGCAAGGACACAGCAGTTTCAAGGAGGAAGTGACCTCATGGCGGGCGCTGGGACACGGGCGAGGCCCAAGGGATGCTCCCAACAAGTCCAGGGAGGCCAGGTCATGCAATGGTGCAGAGTTCTGACTAAGGCAAGAACCTGGGGAGGAAATGACCAGCCAGTGAGCTCACGGGGGCGGGGGCAGGCGGGGGTCCTGTCCCCAGCAGGAAACTAGTGTGGGCACTTCCTAACTCCATTCTGGGCTACAAAAGGTGTCAGAAGCAAGGGCAGGAGTTGGGCTAGGACCCCTGGACCTGGTGGGTCTCGAGCTCAGGAGAACGCAGGAGAGGCCGGCGGTGAAGGCCCAATGAGTGGGTGCACACAGGACACCCCAGGCAGGACCCCAGGCCCCGCAGGAGCCTCTGGCCAGCAGGCTGGGGTCCCAAGGCGGGTGTACCTGGCGCTCCCAGTGTGGTCCCCACACTGCCAGAAGCAGCCACCCACGCCCCCCACACTCAAGAGAACGCCTGTCTCATCAGCAGAACCACGTGTTCGCCCACACGGCCGCCTAAACCGCAGCTGGTGCCACTGGCGTTGGAGCTGATAGCACGAACAAGCCCTTTCGGAGGTCACCAGGCCAGACCGAAATAACGTCTCTCAGGGGCTCCCACTGCAGCGCGGGCTCAGACCGACACTTGCGGAAACGTGATGAACACTAGCCTGAAATAGCACCTCTGAGCATCTTCTAATATGCGTTCACGCAGGCTCTAGGGAAATTCCTAAGGAAACCGGGTCACGCGCACGGCCAAGGCAGGAGCTCAGTCTCCGACCCCCGCTGTGTCCTTGGGCGAGGACTCGGCTACCGTAGAGATGCTGTGTCCCCAATGGCGCTGAAGTGACCGTCTGGGGGGGGTTGTCTCCAGAGCAGTGTCCAGGCGCCTGGGAGTCCACCCAACTGCTGCTAGGAGCCGGCCACGCTGGGGCCTCCAGGACCACCTCTGGCAGTGTTCGGGGGGACCATGTGATGTAAGAATCAAACCAGGGTCTCAGCACACCAGCCCTTAGAACTATCAGTCCTGATGTGTGTGTGTGTTTGTGTGTGTGTGTGTGTGTGTGCGTGCGTGCGTGTGTGTGTGCGTGCACACGCGTGCATGTGGCCAAACCTGGAACCAATGATGCAGGTTGACCAACCCAGGTCGGAGTGATGCAAGAACCAACCGGGACCAGGTGATCTTCCTCTCAGAGCCTGAGCACAAGTCAGCCCAGGCGGGGGACCGGCCCTCCTGCCCCGCGCCCCCCACCTACAACAGGCCCCCACAAGGGCTCAGCAGGGCCATCCAAGCCGGCCTGGGTCCCTCTCAGACCCACCTGCAGGCCACGCAGCAGAGCGGGCTACAAAGGGCTCAGTGCCAAGGGCCACCTGAGGGGCTGGCAGACAGCAGGGACCCTGCTGAGCCACTTTCCCTGGCTCCGCTGGGGTCATGGCCCCGAGAGGTCACACAGAGGACAGAGGACAGTGAGGAGGGACAGCACTCAGGACCTGTTTTGTGACATTTCTGTTGCTCCGATGATGCAAAGTGAAGGGTCTGGGCAGGAAGCACTTGCCTTGCCTGTGGCGGACCCTGAGTCAGTCCCTGGTACCCCAAGCGCCAGCGTGGCCCCAGGACCAAAGTTCACCCCAGCCCAATAGTGAAAAGTATAAGGACAAAGTGACCGCTTACGGTTAGGGTTAGTCTGAAACAGTCCTGGGGCCAGAAAGAGAGAGAAGACACGCGAAAACTGCTCCTACTGAGGAGGGCTCATCACACCCCTCGATTATTTTGTGTATTTTGATATTCCCATGAGCAGACTTTTTTTTTTTTGCTTTTTTTTGGGTCACACCCAGCTATGCACAGGAGTTACTCCTGGCTCATGCACTCAGGAATTACTCCTGGCAGTGCTCAGGGGACCATATGGGATGCTGGGAATCGAACCCGGGTCGGCTGCATGCAAGGCTAACACCCTCCCCACTGTGCTATTGCTCCAGCCCCCCATCAGCACACTTCTTAAGAAATGATGCTTGCCAGGTATGAGACTGCATTGACGAGGTACATGGGGCTGCATGTGATGAGGGGGTGGAATCGGTCCTGCTCCCTGTCATGACAATGCTCTGGGTTGCTTCCCTCAAATGCCTCCTCTGGCTTCTGACCTACCATGAACCCAGAGGCACACATACCAATCTTGGAACCCAGGGGCTTCTGGCAGTAATCCCTCTGGGTGTATTTCTAAAATATGAGAAATCCAAATTTGTGTGGCCGCTATTGTGGCCACATGACATCATATGCTCTTCATAATCAACAATAGAAAACAAATTTTCTAATGATGTCTTTGTGGCAAGTCAATGTTGGGGAAAATTCCAAATAACAATGATGGGTCTTTTGTCGTAATATTGAATGTGATCAACCTAGAGAGAGAGAGTAAAGTGGAAATCTGCCACACAGGTCGGGGGTGAGTGGGGGGTGGGTATACTGAGGTTCTTGGTAGTGGAAAATGTGCACTGGTGAAGGGACAGGGGTTTGATCACTGTATGACCGACTGAGACTTGAACTGAAAGGCTTTGTGACTGTTCTCACGGTGATTCAACAACAACAACAACAAAAATAGTTCAGTAAAAAAAAAAAATGATGCTTCAGAAGTCAATCAGGCTATAGATAGGACAGAGGCCAAGCTCTTACCTCGCACGTAGCCCAGACCCCCCCAAAAGAAGTAAATTGGGGGACACAGACAAACAGCCACGTACGCTCTGTCCCCTGCGCTGCCCCCTGAGCCTCACTCCCCACACCCACTCAGAGGCCCTTGTCCAGGTCCATACCAATCTGGTCTCTTCCTTTGTTTTTTAGGGGTCACACACAAAACTGCTACTCCCAGCTAGCCCCTCCCCCGCACCCCTATGCCCAGGGAAGGGGGGGTTGTCTCCACTGACAGGTGGGCCCTTGGGGTCTCAGAGCCTTGCCTGCCCTTCTCGGGTCCCCCTCATCTGGGCCCCTCAGCATGGACACTCCTGCAGGACGAGCGCAGACCACAGGATGCCGCAGACTAGATGCAGGGGCTGGAGCAGTAATGTGGCGTGGAGGGCGTTTGCCTTGCACGCGGCCAACCCCAGTTCGATCCCTGGCATCCCATATGGTCCCCCGAGCACCACCAGGAGTAATTCCTGAGTGCAGAGCCAGGAGTAACCCCTGAGCACTGTGGTCCAGAAAGCTGTTAAGTAAATAAGTCTCAGACACAGGCTGCTGGGACCGATTCTCGTCACAACCGTTTCTGTCAGAACCGCTTGGCGAAGGCCTTTCTGCCCTTTTCTCCAGTATTCACGCCTCAGACCTAGGAGTCTCTGACTCTGAATGTGAGGCGGGGCCGCAGCAGGGGTACAGCGGGGAGGGGGGTGTGCCTGGCACTGAGCCTAACACGGGCTCGACCCCCGGCACCCCAGAGGACTGCCAGGAGAGATTCCAGAGTGCAGAATTAGGAGTAACCCCTGACCATAGCGGTGTGGCCCCCCCCCAAAAAAAAGCAGCTGTGGGGCCAGAGTGCTAGCACACGGGGAGAGCACTTGCCTTGCACGCCGTCGACCCAGGTTCCATCTCTGACACCCCATCTGGTCCCCCGAGCACTGCCAGGAGTGAATCCTGAGTGCGGAGCCAGGAATATCCCCTGAGCATCGCTAGATATGGCTCAAAAACCCAGAAAAATAAATAAAAAAAGCAGATGAGTCCTGGATATGGCACCAGTGAGCGGAAACTAGAGCGGCAGGGGTTGAAAGCCAGGGACAGGGGCTGGGGGGGTGGGGTGGCCCCAAGCACAGCCAAAAACATGGGAGGGGTGTTGATACGGCAGCGCAGATATCCCCCAAATCCACCTCCCCCAGGGCACCACCTCGTGTGTGCCCGTCACCCCTGAACTGACCCACAATGCCCCTTCTCCATCTCCCCACCGACCGGCTTGGGGACAGGCGTCCACACCCTGCTGGCAGCCCAGAGACTGGGGGGGGGGGGGCAGTGCTGGGGCCGGCAGAGAGGAGAAAGGGAACCCCGAAAACACACATGGAGCCCAGGCAGATAAGGGTTAGGAGATCTGATGCGGCAGGACACGAGTGCTCACACCTGCTGACCCCAGCGGGCACCTGCCAGCCCAAATGACAGAATCTGCAGATGGGGAGGGGGCGGGGCAAGAGAAACCTCCAAGGCCAGAGACTCAGGTCCAGACCCCGATCCCCTCCAGGGGTGACCCCCAAACTCGGAGATAAGAGGAGTCCCCAACACCACCAGATGTGGCACAGCCTCCCCACACCCCACCCTCCCCATCCACATCAGCTGCGGCCTGGAGTTCTGGCTGTCGTCCACGCAATTCGGACCAACAGTCCGCGTGAGCTTCATCACCACAGACAGCGCACACCGAGGTCCAGGCGGAAGCGCCCCCGCTTCCTTTTTTTTAGACGCTCAGAGGTTCCTCCTGACTCTGCGCTCAGGAATTGCTCCTGGTCGTGCTTGGGGGACCCTATGCGAGGCCGAGGATGGAACCTGGATCGGCCGCATGCAAGGCAAACGCCCTCCCCCGCTGTCCTTCGCGCTCCGACCCCCATCCCACGGGCATCCCCCAATGCTGACGCTGAGAAGGGACGGGGCAGGGGGCATAGGGCGCGGGCCAGGAGCGATCCCTGGACGCCAGGTGCGGACGCAGCCCCCCGCAGCCCTGTCCAGCAGGGGCCGACGCGAAGGCGATGTGGCCCCGCCGGCGGGGAGCCCCCGCGCCGCGCCCCGCTGCAGGGCCCGCGCCCCGCCCGGCCCGGCCCGCCGGGCGCGCACCCACCTGCAGGCGGACGTTGAGCATCATGGAGGCCACGATGTAGAGGTAGGGGAAGTTGATGCGCAGCCGCCAGGCCAGGTCGAAGAAGATGAGCAGCGTGCGGGTCAGCCCCTTGCAGAAGACCCCATAGGAGCGCGCGGCGGCCGAGCGCGACAGCCGGACAGCCAGGCCCGACAGAGCCGCCGCCATATAGCCCGGCGCCCGCCGCCCGCCCGCCCGCGTCGCGGCGCCCCCGGCCCGCGCCGGCGTCAGGAGCGAGGGAGGCCGGCGGGCGCCGGGCGCCGCGGCCAGGGCAGTCGCGCTCACGCTCGGGCAGCGCTGGGCGAGCCGCCGCCGCTCCGGCCGCGCCGCGCCGCTGACGTCACAAAGCCCGAGCCGCGCCTGCGCGCGCAGGCCCCGCCCCGGCGCCCGCCGCCGCCGCCGCCGCCGCTGCCGCCGCCGCCTGTGCGCGTGCGTGGGCCGCGGCCCGCGGTGCCGTGCGCGCCCGCCCCCTAGCGGGGAGCTTGGTCACTTTGCCCGCGGGGCGGGGGGCGCGCTGGGAGGGAGGCAGGTGGGGCGCCCTAGGCTCGGGGACCGCCCGCCACGTGGGTGAGGGGACCTTGACCCTGTTGGAGGGATGGGGGGCGGGAACATCGTACGACGGGAGCTTTTCACGATTGTTTTTCTCTTCTTTTGCTTTTTTGGGTCACACCCGGCGATGCTCAGGGGTTGCTCCTGACTCTGCACTCAGGAATTACCCTTGGCGGTGCTCAGGGGACCCCAGGAGATGCCGGGGATTGAACCCAGGTTGGCTGCTTGCAAGGCAAACGCCCTCTTCCACTGTGCTATCACTCCGGCCCCAGCTTTACACGATTGTATACAAAGATACAAAGCTTTGTGACTTTGTATCTCTTGGTGATTTGATTTAAAACAATCATTTAAAAAAATTGAAGTTTCTGGTGAGCCTGGAAGATCGTCCGCGGGTTTTGCACGTGGTCGTTTTGCACGTGGTCGGCCTGAGTTTGAATCCCGGACCCGCCCCCCAGACCTCGATCCCTCCGGGAGTGACCCCTGAGCACATAGCCAGAAATAAGCTGCGAGCACTCCAGGGTGTGGCCTGAAAGCAAAAAAGAAAGGAAAAAGTAGTTTCTGGAGAAGAGGGACAAGCAGAATGCGCTTTCTTTCTGGGACAAAGAGAGCTTCCTAAGGGAATAGCAAAGCCCCCAGGGCAATAGCAGAAAGAGCAGAAGTGTTCCTCTGCAAGAGACCTGGCACTGGGCACAGAGGGAGGTGCAGTTAGGGAAGGCTACCCAGGAGCTGGGGCACCTCAGAGGCAGGCTGGGGGGCTGAAAGTGGAGACATTGAGGGAGGGAAGAAGACTGAGGAGTGCACACTGGCAATGGGAGAGATCTGGGAACATCTTTATTTTTTTGCTTTTTGGGTCACACCTGGCGATGCACAGGGGTTATTCCTGGCTCTACACTCAAGAATTACCCCTGGCGGTGCTCAGGGAACCATATGGGATGCTGAGAATCGAACCCAGGTTGGCCATGTGCAAGGAAAACGCCCTACCAGCTGTGCTATCACCCCAGCCCCTCTGGGAACATCTTATGCCTGAAAGGGAGTAGTAAATAACTTTGTAACTATAAATCAAGGTAATCAAAAATAATTCAAAAGTCAATATAGCAGGAGGTATCCCACCAGTCTCATAAAAATGTATAAATACAAATTTTTCATAAAATAATTGGGCTTCTCCCTCCCTTCCCCCCCATCCCCCCCCCCCCCCCCCCCCCGCTTTGTTGTTTTTAGGTTTTGGCCACACCTGTGATGCTCAGGGTCTCCTTCTGGTTCTGTGCTCAGGGATGACTCCTAGACCATATGGGCGCCAGGGATTGACCCGACTTTGGCCCCGAATTGTTTAAATTCTTAGTTCCCTTCCCTCCCCATGGTGGTGGGGTCTTGTCCTCACACTCGCTTGCAGCCTGGGACAGCAGGGATTGGCGCCCCCAGACACTACACACTTTGTCCCGTGGGTTCGGGGGTCCCAGACGGCAGAGCTGCCTGAGCTAAGCTTGGAGCATGTGGGATGCTGCTGAGAATGGAACGTACAGCCTCGCGCTCGCAAAGCAGGTGCCGTGCCACTGAGAAATCTGCAGAGCTAAACTTGGGATCTAAGTGTAAAAAATTATTGGAGGAGGAGAATTGGGGTCACCTCCAACAGTGCCCAGGGAGCAAGTGGGGTCGGCAGTCTGTAAGGCAGGCACCTTAACCCCTGTGTTTGTTATCTCTCCAGCACCCTGTGTCGAAATTCTTCGCCACAAACTGAATTCACATTCAAAATATTTTGCTTGTTTCTTTCTGAGTCATGCCCAGAAGTGCTTAGGGGCTATGCATACTTATTATTTCACATTATCAACATACTTTTTTTGTTTGTGTTTAGGTCACACCTGGCAGTGCTCAGGGGTTACTCCTAGCGGTGCTCAGGGGACCATCTGGTATGCCTAGGATTGAACATGGGTTGGTCGCACCCAAGACAAGTGCTCTACCCACTATACTGTTTCTCTGGCCCCTTTTTGTTTATTTTTGGGATACACCTAGTGAAGCTCAGGGGGTTACTCCTGGTGGTTCTAGGGGAACCATATGGGATGCCGGGGATCCAATACAGGTGGCCTGCGTGCAAAGCAAGCCCCATACCTGCTGTAGTATCCCTCTCTCCAGCCTCTACCACTTCTCCTTTTGGGGGGAAACTAATTTTTGCCTGGCAGCGGATGCTGTTTCTGCAGCACAAACAAGCACTCCCTAGTTGTCACTGATTTTCAGGCCATGCTCCCTAAAGAGCGAAAGGAACACTTCCTGATGCATTATTTCAGAAAACAGAGCTTGGAAAGGCTAGAACCGTCTATGGAGATTTTACCCAAAATCTAGTTGACAGCGTGTGAACAGATTTGTAGAGCCACTGAATTTATTCTTAGGCTTGGAAGGATTTTCACTGGTGGAGAATTGGCAGTCCTGTTGCTTAGAACTCTTCGGAAAGACCAGATGGTCCCTCGAGGCATGCGCATATGTGTGTGTGTGTGTGCATGTGTGTGCATGTGTGTGTGCGTGTGTGTGTGTGTGTGTGTGTGTGTGTCTGTGCAGGCCCGTCCCCTCCCTGGTTACTCATAGCTTTGTTTCTAAATGCCATTGAGGCCAATTGCAATTACACAAGCTCTCTGGTTGCCATAATCAATCACCAACTGAATCAGCACAGAATTGCACTGAGCAGAACGTCTATTGCAGTGAGACTCCAGGAGGCCTGGAGGGCGCTTAGGGAGGTGCTGGTGCTCAAAGGCATCATCTGCCTCAGGGGAAAGAAGCTGAAAGCATCGGAGCTAGGTGGTCAGTGCGGCTCACTGTGGGACAGCTGGGACAGGAGCAATAGGACACTGGGCTGGGCACTTGCCTTGCATGCAGTTGGCCTGGGTTTGAGCCCCGGCATCCCATAGAGTCCCCCAAGTACCGCCAGGAGTAATTCCTGAGTGCAAACCAGGAGTAAGCCTTGAACACCTTTGGGTGCAGCTCAAAAATTTCAAAAAGAAGATAATAATAACAAGAGTTGAACTCAGTCCCAGTTCCCCAGCCACCGCTCAGGGAAGGCATCTTGCTCTAGTTATCACTCTTCAAACAAACAGACAGAAGTGACTGTCAGGGTGAAAGGCGGTGGGGGAAGGGGGGGAGGCTCCCAGAGGCGGAAGAGGGGCAGAGGGGCAGCCCTGGGCAGTAACTGAGGCCCCATCCAGGGATTTACCCTCCGGCCCAGAGTCCCCGCAGCTGCCCCGCAGAGGGAGCACAGAGGGAGCGGAGGGCTTTGACCTTTTCAGCCAGACCTGAGGAAAAGCACAGTTCAGAGCCAGGAAGCAAAGGGACTGTGAAGAGCAAAGGAGAGAGGGAGAGAGAGACACACAGAGAGACACAGAGAGGAGGGGAAGGGAGGGAGAGAGAGAGACAGAAAAATACACAGAGAGAGACAGAGAGAGAGGGAGAGAGGGAGGGAGAAAGGGAGGGAGACAGGGAGAGAGAGAGAGAGAGAGAGAGAAAGGGAGGGAGAGGGAAGGAGGCAGGGAGGGAGGGAGGGAGAGAGGGAGGGAGGGAGGGGAGGAGAGGGAGGGAGGGAGAGAAAGAGGGAGAGAGGAAGAGAGAGGAAGAGAGAGAGAGTGGGAGAGAGGGAGGGGCAAAGAGAAAGGGAGGGAGAGAGGGAGCAAGAGGGAGGGAGGGAGGGAGGAAGGAAGAGAAAGAGAGGGAGGGAACCCTACTACTAACTGTTACTCACTGCGTGAGATCTTTTGCTCCTGGAAGGCAGGAGGTGCCTGATGTAGTCCCATTGGTCATTTCTGGAAGGTCAGGGATTTTCTGAGGGAAGGGCGGGCGTGTGGTGCCAGGGAGTGACCTGTGGGCCTTATGCATGCTCTCAGCCCCAGTCCTCTGAGCCATCTGCTCAGGCCCATAAACTATATTTTTTAAGAAACGCTGGGAATTAGTGCTCAGGGCTCATGGCACTCCAGGCTTAGTGCTCAGGGCTTCCTCTGGTTGGTGCTGGGGGCGCTCATGAGGTGCTGGAAACGGACTGTGGGGGGGCTCCCACATGCAAAACCTGTGCTGGGCCCTTTGACCGTGTCCCAGCCCAGTATGGGCTGCCAGTATTGTGCTATTTCAAGTTTTTTCTTTTCATACTGCTTTTTTTTTTTTTGCTTCTTATTTAGGGCCACACCAGTGGTGCGTTGGACCCATTCCTGGCTCAGTACCCAGAGTGACCCCTGGTAGTGCTTGGGGAGACCATACAGAGGCTGGGGATTTGAACTGGGTTTGGTGAGGGCAAGGCCAATGCGTCACCTCCTCTTCTCTCTCTCCAGCACATAGCACAGAGCTATTCGTAGTGCAAAGTGGAGGAAACGAGGAAGACCAGAGTACGCTGAGCAAGAGGGATACAAATACAGATTAAAACCGGGGGCTCCTTGGAGTTCATGCCCAATTCAATCAGCCTAATCACACTTGATCACTTGACATCCCGCTACTCATCGATTTGCTCAAGCAGGCACCAGTAGCGGATCCATTAGTCCCTGTAGTGTGCTAGTGTAGCCCAATGGCGTCTGCTCATTCTAGGAACATGAAGCGCCTCAAACCGATCGTTCAGGGTCTTGATGAAGAAGTCTGACCATCTCGTAGGTGGGCGACCACGCGATCTTTTGACATCCGTGGAATCCAGTCGGTAACGTCTCTACTCCAGTGGTCGCCTCCAAATCTCATTAGCTGTCCAGCCCATCTGATTTTTGATGCCTTGGCAAACGAGACA